CTGGCAGTTCTCTACATTCATGTCACTACTGATAAAAGTCAGCAACTGCTGTGCAGGAGAAACTACAGTGCTGGCATCGGGCACCGGGTCCTCCACACAGGACAGGAGGAGGAGGATGATGAGAACACTTCCTTCCGCCTGTCCTTCCCTGTCCCACCACTGTTCACTGAGCAGACAAGTCAGGACAGTTGGTTGGGCAGGGGTGAAGGTGGCAACCTTGTCAGTGCCAGAAGTGAGAGCAAAGCTACATGGCACCACCTGATTTGGGCTCAGAAAAGAAAACCTTGATTCCTCTTTAAGTTGTGTAACAGCCAAGGGCAAAGGGAAGTCTACAGAACTAAATGTACATGGATGACTTACTGGTTAGAGAAAAACAATTCACTTTGGGGGCTGAATATTTTAATGACTCAGTGTGAAACACTTGACCAACATGAACTCTGACTAAAAAACAAATGGTACAGATGAATAAATGTTAAGAGGTAGAGTTGCATAGCAGCTCACAGAGGCCGTTTCTTCAAATGCCCTGGACTCCGTTTTAACTGTTCAAAACCATGCAAATCCTCCAGTTCACAAACTCCAACTTACTCATATATAGGAATATTTTCCATGCAACAAACTCCTAACCCAACTATGTTGTCCATTTTTCTTATATACTTTATTTGCTGTGACAGGTTCCAACCCAGTGTGACCCTTAAAAGTGCCAAAACATCTTCTGAGCTGGACTCCTGTTTCTATGCCAAGGTTACATATTTTGTAAGTGTGTAGACACTTGCACAGAGGCCATAATTTAAGCAAAACCAGTTTTGGATCATTAGATGGCCACCTGGCTGGAAAGACACAGCTTGTCGCAGAATATGTTGGATCTCCATGTTAGAGTGTGACATATCCGCACCAATACATCCCAACCCGAGTTAGGGGGAGCAAGACTGTATGGGGTTTCCATAGTAGCACTGAACAATAAAGTTAACGCTGGGACAATATATATAAATATAAAATATAATATAACCCAAACTTACTTAATGCTTGA